TGTATAAATACCAGAGCAATACAGTGTTGAGAGGGCAGACTTGTTATACTTGTCTACTCCTCGTCAACTTCTCCCACTCTACTCTGAGCCCACCAGCTCCTATAGCCTATCACCCCCACAGACTATATCAATTTCCTAAGCTTCATAAGTGAGTGTTTAGGGGTTAGGGTTAGAGCGGAGTCAAGTATCAGGACGATACCTTGACAGTGTGTCTCACTATTTATTCAACATCTGCATAGCGAATCCCTTCTGAATCCTGTGCCAAATGATAGCAACTCAAATCTGTGACATTCAGCCACAATCAGCATTGTGAATCTTGACTCAGCTGATGATAGCGGTGCACTTCACATAGCTTCACAATCCAGCCACTGAACACCAGGCGGACAAAGAGAACAGCATGTGTGGCATTGTGATGGTTGATGTGATGTGCCTCGGAGAAAAGTTGCACTACTGTTGTGATTTTACTTTACTCTTGGTATTGCTTAATTCTTGACATATTGAGCCTACAAAATTCATGTGTGTACTATTGAACATTCTGCATTGACTGGCGAAAACTCTGAAACATTCTGCTAAGATTTGCACTATAGGGAGCCCAGATACTGAAAAAGTTGCATTACTGGTGCAATAATAGTACGTCCAGGTTGTCATTCAAAGGCTGCCTACAGGAGATCAGTCTGTATCTGAAAACACTCCAGGTTCCATGGATAGACATCCACCCAGGGCTGTGGTAGATCTGGGTTTGATGGTACTGATATTCAGAAGATCAGAAAACTGATGCCTGCCGAGTAGACTGACTTCGGTGAGTGGGCTTTCCGACGCTAACTCAAACCGTTCCCAAATCAGTTCCTCTTACCTAAACTTAAGTATCCAGCAACTGCACTTGAGTCACATAGGACTTGTGTTGGTGCTGAAGACCACGGAATGTCTGCAGTCTGCGCGATTACAAGTTTTGGTAGCCGGTACATCCTGGAGATCTGTACCTTGGAACTCTTGCTCGCAACTCGAAACATTCATTTTAGAAATAGTGATGTTCTATCGTTGCCTTAAATTCTCGTTTAACTGAGCCTCATCTCTGATCACCTCTTGTCTGCCGCCAGGATTCTTCGATCTGAGCACTCACTAGTCAACATTTGTCCCTCCGATGACCTAGGATTATTAGTGGCGTCCCAAAGGGTTTTCATCTTTTTGGCCTGCCTGCTGTACGTTGAAGTTGAAGCTGGGGAGGTACCTGCGAATGATCTCTCAAGACCTGACCGGTGACCAATTATCCCCTGCCAATCACACCTGCACAGTAAGTGGAATTATGAACCCACGAGGCCAAATGCCCTTTACTGAGATGATGATATTGTCGCTACACGCAGTGGTGCCGTACCGTATATCAGATGTTGACTACATATCTCTTACGCTAGATGAGGGTCGACGAACAAGGCGGCCCTGACATGTAGGTGAAATTTTAGACATATATCACACCCCACATTACATCGAAGTTTGTCATGTTTAAGCCATGCCCGATCGAGCTGAACGATTCCACGCACCCGCAAGACTAAGTAGAATTGACACGAGTTCATCTCCCTGTGTTTTCTATAAAATCCAGGGACGTTGTGCGCTATATGCGATTCTCCCAGATTTTCCCACAAGTAGGAATTTTGCCATGTCTGCCTCCCCTTCTCCATCTTCATCTCATCAACCTCCGATATGGAAGGCATACTTCTTCTTGACGAGACTTCATCTCTGGCCTACCGGAACTATTCTTTACTTCTGGCCTTGCGGTATATATATATTTCCTAATATCACTCTGATGATGTGTTCTCATTATCATGAAACAGCGTGGGCCTTGGCGATGTGTGCATACTCGCTGAGTATACCCCCGAAAACGGTGGCTATCCAGACGCTCGCCTACTTTATCGGCAGTACAATCCGACATGATGCTGCTTGTATCTGGAACGACATTTGTGACATGGATCTTGACGGAAAAGTTGGTTAGTATGGATACTTTATCTCAGTGGCCCATGTTCTAGAGATCTAATGGTAGAAACAGAACGTACCAAAGGTCGGCCTCTCCCGTCTGGTCGAGTGTCTGTTCTAGGAGCATTATTATTCCTTGCAGCCCATTGGGCCATCTTGCTTGGCGGGCTCAACCTTATGGGTCCGGACGCGTCTGTGTAGTCTCATTCACCATTGTGGCATTTTCCCTCACGACGATACAGATTTAAACTTGGCCTCGTTGGCCTGCTGACATTTGAATGGATCTATCCTCTCTCGAAGCGATTCACAAACTGGCCACAAGTATGGGGAGGTATGCACATCATTGCCTAGCACGACACCTGACAGCACAAGGACTTACCATTTATAGGACTTGGAATAGCATGGGGATTCGTTGTCGTTTGGGTCTCATTCACAGGTTCTATGGACTTGAACTTCCTGGCTCCCATTGTGCTTGGACTCATTTGGTAAGTGGCCCAGTCATCTCCTGCAATCTAGTGCTCTAATGCACATCCTTCTCAAGCTGGACCATTCACTTTGACACTGTCTATGCACGACAAGACTGGAAAGAAGATTCCAAAGCCGGAGTCTATTCCTGCGCCATCTATTTCGGGAACTATATGCGGCCCATTCTAACCTTCTTCACGATGGTGTTCGTCACCTCACTTGCTTATGTGGGATACCTGAATGGACAGGGTCCTCTGTACTTCCTGATTTCCGTCGCAGGAAGTGCTGTCCATTTTATTTGGCAGTTGAGTAACCCCGAGCTGGGAACTGGCAAGGACAGCAGCAAGCTCTTCCAGGTATGCGCCAATTGATCCGCTAGAGCTGCCAGTGCTCATACTGACGTTTCATGCCAGGCAAACCATAAACTTGGATATATTATCTGGGGGGGCATGCTCTGTGACTATGCCTATAAACTCATGACATGACTCCGTATCAAGACTGGCTACCAATAGTTCACGGTACGGTTACTGCGATCGCATGATACGAATCCCCCTATATCAGTATTTTATTGAGTATACAATAGACAATCTCTATCCAAACGTTGTGTACGATCGCAATAGAACTGAAGTGCTTATCGGCCATTGAAATCCATCCGCGCATTCGGTGAATTGACGACACGCTCGTACTGGCTATCTGAGTCGCCCTCAGTCACACGCCCGCACAAAGGCATACAGCCTTTCATTGCAACTGTACATACAATGCGGCATAAGCATCAGAGGACATTTATGGGAGGACTCAGACTTACCGCTAGGGTGACCCAATGTCGGCTTGTAGGGAACAAAGATGCGAAGCAATGTTTTCCCCAAAGTCAGGTGCTATAAGCTGCGCTGGCCGTCCACTCGGGGAATCCAGAGATCTCAACCACCACCAGAATTCGTTATGTCGGAATCCAACAGATACAAGCCGTATGAAGGGCATGTGTTTGATAATGCGCGCAGAGAATTCCTGTGCAGTGTCAAAGCTGGGAGTAATGGCACAAGGTGCTGGCGGAACATTCGGATGGGTACGTCTGACACAGCCAACGGACCGAACCATAGTGCCATCGATATGAATGCGTATGTACTTGAGTGACTCAGTTGTCGCAAGGATAGGGGGTACTATATCCTGATCATTGGCGGAGTGATATGAGCGAGAAAACAGTAAACGAGAAGGTAGACTCACCATCCACGAGGACAAGCTAGCATGGAAATCCGAGGCTGTATCAAACTCGCAAAGTCTTATTCGTAGACACCGCAAACGTGACCCTGGTCCGGCTATGCTCTTCCAAAAACACGTCGACAATTTGCTGTAGGTCATGATGCTCAACTCGAGCACTATTGGGGACGTGGCTGCTATTAAATCTAGCGCGATGGGAATATATAGCTCTCCGTCCTCCGATCTGTTCCATTGAACCTGAATACTGGGCTTTGCGAGGACCTGCTCAATTGACAAGTCGTGAACAGGGCACGTAATCGGCCATTGTCTAATGGCTGTAATACTTGCTTTAACCAAGTCAAGACTCGGCCAACATGCCCCCTTGGCTGCAGGAGCACCCGACATGGAACTTTGACCTTTCAGAACTAGGACACGTAGCCGGGGGAAAACCTGCACGCAAGCGTCCATGGATATCATGTCAAATGGGAGCTTGAGACAGCGCATTGATGGCTGCTGAATTTGAGATACCATAACCGGCTCGGGTGGGACACGGCGCGTTGAATAATAATCCATCTCTAGACTTTGGACATTGTGCCCCACGGAGATGTTGGAAAGGAGTGCCGGAAAGCTGACTAGATTTTTATGGTCATCGAAGGTCAGCCCCTTGAGATTACTACATGACCTTCGAAGGATACCCATAACTTCATCCCCGGACCCTATCTGACGCAGACGCAACTTTTGCAGATGGCAAAGAGCGGCAAGAGAATCTCCTATGCGCTGCTCGGCATTCAAGAATAATTCGACAGGATCTATGGAGATATACGTGAGGTTACGGGCGTGTTCAAGGAGGACGGCCAGATGCGGTGCAGACAGTTTGATGCCTCTGGGGTCATCGTCGTCTCGAGTGTCGGCCGACATGTTGTACCACACGCACACAGTTAATCTGCGTACCCAGCAAAGTCGTTCTTCAATGTCTTCAAGCATATACGCGCAGATTTTGAGGACCTGCATCGCCGAAAACATGTACACGTCCGAGAGCGCATGCCGCTTGGCGATGAGATGGAGTGGACGAGCTACGGCCGAGAGGTTTAGGGAATCACGAGTGGGGAGGTACGACAAGATTTCTAGTAACATGTCCTCGTTGAGACACGCCAGAGTTGCATTCGAGATGTCAGACACTCTCTGCGAAGAGACACATTAGCCTGAACTCGGACTCCGCACGAGAAGCGAAGGGACCCAAAGAGAGGACCACCTCAGTCGAAGCCATTGCCAATGTGATAGGGGGTGAGAACTGGCTTTGCAATTGTACGCAGATATTCAAGTTGCATTCATATATGTAGTCGACACCAAGGACTTCAGGTTATAGGATAAGCTAGTCAAACAGCGGGAGTGGCTTCGGTGACCGCTTGCCAACGCTGGTATCAATCGCCATGAAAGTAGATCCGGGTTGATGGCGTCAATTTCTCGTCTTGAATCACATATGCGCTCAGGCTACATACTACTGGCACTAGGCTATCTCAACATTCATACCTGGCGTCGCTTATACCGTACTTACACATACGAAACCCAATCGATGAATAGGTCTAAGTACTACGAGCATCATCTGGATCACACTAATTATATGAACCATTGACAAAAGCATATCAAACGTTATTACAGGACAGAGCTTAGCACTGCCGACTCCGAGTGCATAAAATAAGCGCGCTGCGAAAAAAGAAAAAAACGAAATGGACGAGCTGCCACAAGGTGCGAGCATGCTACTCTTTGTCAAAGTCCAACCGAGATTCAAATTTCAACAGAACAAAGGCGGGATTGCAGATTGATTCCAGCCTGGTGTTCAATTTGTTCTATGCTCCGCCCACTCGGAGTGATCATCGTCTTCCACCACCAGAATTGTCCTCCGAGGTCAGACCTATCAGGCATGTACCCAGATCCGAATCCGACCGATATGAGACGGACCGAGGGAAGACATTGGTTGAGAATCTCCGAGAATTCTTGTGCAGAATCATAATCGGGTATGATATGACGAGAGATAGTACAATCCCAGTAAGGCATCGGCGGCGTCGTTGCATGTCGCCCCGAATGCACATTTTTATGTGGGTGAGCGACCTCATGGAGGCCAGTATAGGCGGCACAGTATGCTAGACAAAAACGAGATTAGCAAATACTTCCAGAACAATCCAAGTGAGACTTGCCATCCACTCAAGCAAGTTGGCTTTGAATTGCGGCGCGTCTTCGAATTCACATAGTTGTATGACTAGACAGCATATTCGCGTCCCCGTTTCGACCAAATACGTCCAAAAGGTTGAAGCGAGGTTGATTTAAGGCATTATGCTCAATGTAAGCACAGCCAGAGTTATGTTCTTTACGGCTTCCAGCACGATAGGAAGGCCCAACTTGCCGTCCTGCAAGCTCCAGAAACTTGGCTTTGCAAGGACTCCGCTGATGCATAGGGTGTGGACCGGACATATAATGAGCCAATGCTATAAAATGCGCTTCGACGACGTCAAGATTCGGCCAACAGGTCGTGGGAGCTGAGACCGCGTTGATCTCGTCGGATGTGAATCCTCGTCCGCCCAAATCTAAGACACGTAGCTTTGGACACGCGCGTACATATATCGACATGGCTGTGGCGCCAAAACGAATCACCAATTGGCGCAATACCGGCAGTCGGCAATAGGCAGCAGCGGGTAATGTGATGGGTTGTCCAAGGCGACAAAATTGAGACTGCACAAGGTCCAGATCTTGGATACCTTGCATCACAGAGATTTTTGACATGAGATCTTCAAAACTGAAAGCATCACGGTACCCATCTATCTTGACCCTCTTTAGATTTCTTCGCATGTATGGCAGGATCTCCAGCAAAGAGACATCGGTGTCACCTAGATCTATATCATGTAGATTCTGAAGCTGGACGAGCATATCCCCAATGCGCGGCACCACTCGGAGCAGGGCCCCAATATGAAGAATGCATTAGTATCGGAGATTGTGTGCGTGGTCGAGAAAATCCGCCAAAAGTTCTCCATGGGTAGGAGCCTGATTGTCACAGTTTTCGAACGCCTCATGCTCACGCACAGTCAACCTACGAACCCACCTCATGCGGCCTTGGATATCCGCAAGCATATAGGTGCATATTCTGGTTATCTCCTTCGGTCTGTCCATTGAGATAACTGACAGTGCTTGCCGTTTGGCGATTTGATGAAGTCTTCGAGCGGTTGCCGAGAGATAGAGTGCATCACGACCGTAAAGATAAGAGACAATCTCCACTAGAACGTCTTCGTTGAGATGCAATAGAAACGAACCGGAAGATATAATGAAGAACCTTTTTTTCAACTTACACCACCCAAGCGGATAATCGGACCTTAGCTATCCATGTGAACATGTCGTTCAGCTAACTGATCACGGAGCAAGGCGAGATCAGCCCGATGAAGTCCATGGCAGGTTGTGCGATTGATAGTAAGGCTGAAGCCGAATGGAGCACAAATATAAAAATAATGGTTAACAACAATCGCCGGAAGGTCACCAGCTTCTACGCTTCCCTCCTTTACCCCATTTTTGCAATAAGAATGCAGTCATGTATTCGTATAGCTCTCTATTTGCTCCTCGCCGTTGTATGGAATGGTCACTGCGCAGGGCATGAGCTTAGCCGAGGTCAACATTCGATTAGCACGTACCTGTCTGTGAACATTCTAAACGTGTATCCCCTGACATGTTCGCGGGTGAACATGTCTAACAGGTGCGCAGAATTAGCAAAATGAACGTTGTCGTCACCAGATCCGTGAGCAAGGAGGAAATCAGTGTGGTGGAATCCAGTCACGTTCGAGATGGAAGCAGTGACGTAACCCATCGGATTTGTCTTGGGGACATTCATGTACCGCTCTGTATAAATGGAATCTAAGCCAAAGTTGTATTAGTTGAATTCGGGACCACAGAAACATGCTAGATACTCACCATAGAGAAGCCAGCTTGTAACCGGCTATTCGTAAATTGTCAGCAAGTGTTCATAATTCGACGACTAGCACATACCGCAACTGCCATGGCCAAAGTGTGTATGCCGGCATTAGCTTCTACGACTTTAGCACTCATGAAACCGCCGTAAGACTGTAGATTTTTTCAGTGATTGATGTCGTTCCAGTTGAACACACTCACCCAGCCCCAAATCCCGATACGTTTGGGATCAACATAGGATTTGGCGGCCCATATTCTACTGACGTCAGAAAATGGATGCTAAACTGCTAAAAGAAAACACATACTTCGCTGCATTGATCTGATCCTGAGTTTCCCAGTGCCCAAGGTTGTCCTTCACCGGATTACGCAGCTTCCTCCCCTTGTATCCAGTCCCTCGACCATCAACTATGACGATAACGTATTCCAGAGAGCAGGCAAGATAGTCATGCCAATCATGAGAGTAGTCTAGACTGACTAATTGGGATCCGGGGCCACCATAACTGAAAGAGGACGGTATGAATTAACAAAAAGTCCAGCCATTCATGATATTATGGCTTACACTCTGAATAAAACTGGATACTTTGTCCGTCCTGTGTTATCCATCCTAGGTGGGCGTATCTCAATCACATTCAGCTCTATTGAGACGCGTATCAGTAACGACAATCGATTCTGGTATGCAATGATCTGGATTGCTCACCGTAGCCGTCACTGTCTATAGTCGAGCGCGTAACGACAGGCATCTCAAACTGCGCCAATGTGTCGTTCAGCTGAGGATTCTCAGTGAGAATAAAATCCCGACCTAAGTAATAGGTTTGGAGTAAACCTATTTGGCACAAGTTCATACTAAACCAGCGCACGTACCCTGACCACTGACGTCGATGACCTTCTGCCAGGGCGGCTGAGGGCCATTGTACGACAAGAGATAGAAGCCAGCTTTGGGGGAGAACTGTGCACTATAAACTCCTGGGCTTGAAACATCTGTCAGGGCAGCAGGCTCAACCTTTCCGGATGAGCTTATCGCGGGCAATGGCACTGAATAAATATGACGTTGAAGAGAGTGTGGATTTGCTGCCTGGAAGTACCTAAGTTAGACATTACAATATTAGTCAAATTTACTCGACATAGGAAAGAAAGACACAGGGCTATCGACAGATTTTCGAGGTTGAAGAAACTTACACAAGCCTGCGCTTCACATCAACAGCCAAGATATTTCCTGTAACTTCCCATGGACCCGAAGTCAAGAAACGGGGTGTACTAGATGCTGCAGGGCTAAAGAGGGCGATATGATTATAACCTTCGGGCGTGGGTACAATATCGAGATACGAAGCATGGCCATCTGGCGACATGTTCGTGGGGATGCTGTAGACTCTTTGTTCCTATAAAATACCTTAGCTGTCATTATAATCGCGAGAAATATGATCTAATATACCGCATCGATCCATCCATTGTCTCCTTGTTCCCCGTCTTTCCCAAGCTTTCGAACAACACGTCCGCGTCCTTTTGGTTGAGAAGCGAGGTTGAACAACACAACAGATCCATTGTTGCCCGCGCGATTCACTTCCTTGACAAGAAGCGTAGTGTTGCCTACCCATACGACTTCACTAATGATGCTATTTGTGGGATCTAATTTGCCATCCCAGTCGAGCGAGAACGAAGTGGTCGCAATAGTTTGTGCGTGATTTCCACCATTTGCAAGATACTGATCGAGTCGGAATATATATACTGAGGCCAGAGGATTACTGTGACCAGGCTTGGGGTACTTCATAGTCACCTGCTCCGGGTACGGGACGACAGCATACGAGTTTTCCGTTGGATTGTATATCGGATACGTGAATTCGTCCACGGCGGTCTCGTCGAGACTGAGGAATGCGATGCTTTTTGAATCTGGTGACCACCAAAGAGCATAATCACCCGAATAAACCTCTTCTTCGTAAACCCAATCAGGAACGCCATTGAACATTGACGCATTGCCGCTTGTAGTGACACGGATTGGAGCAGCTGAGGGCCTAGCATGGCATAAGTCGAGACCGAAACAGAAATGCATGACGAAACTATACGAACGAGGGGGATTGAACGACGTATATGTCATTATTCATGACAAACGCGATAGATTGTCCGGTGGGTGCCCATGTCGCGTACGTAGTAACAGCAGGATTAGTCGGCGGAACGAGTGGCCAAGTGGCCTTAGTCTGCAGATCATGGATATAATAATTTCCATAGCTAGAGTGCCGCCACAGCTGCGCGCAGGTTAGCAGCTGTTCTCCCAAGAAAAGAGCATAAGAGAACCTTGACTGTGTCCGCCTTCAACAACATGTATCTCATGTCCGCAGAGAGCTTCCAGGACGACTGAGGGAGAATGTGGCCGTGTTCCTAAACCCATCACACGTAAGATGTCGTCAATGGTTAAGTAGTGAGGACACTTGCGTCCTTCAGATCCGAGAAGGCTACCAGATGTCGGGTGGTATTGCTCTTCAAATCTACCAAAGTCAAAAAGCCATCCTTCGACGTGGCAAAAACGCCATCGCCGGCTTTTGGAACTTGAGATGAACCCTTGGAAGGATTCGTGTGAACTCGCACCTTCTGGTACCCACAATATCCCACCTTTCTTCGCGGAAAACGTGCCATTGAATACATGGTCCATGGTAATATGCTTCGTACCATGGATACGAAACGGTGTCCCTGTATACGAGTGCGCAGCAAATATACCAATGATTGCAGCCAAAGTCACAAGAGCCACGAGAGACGTAACCAGAACTCGGACAGACGCAGGTCGCTATGACGCCGTGAGTAGCAGCGAAAAGGTTCAGAAATCATGACTCACTTTTCCGAAGAATAAAAGGCCACCGTCTCTATCTCTACCTCTGCTGGCATTTTCGGCACTGCCTAGCGAGATACTACCTGTCTTCTCCAGCAATTCGTCGGCCTCGTCGTCAGAGCTAGGGGGATCAAACGGTCCCTCCCCGTAGTATGCCTCCGGCTTGATGGACATGGCTTCCATCTCATCAGCATAGTGGCTGCTGGTCGACGCATTATTGTGCGAAGTGCTGCTTCCCTCTTGCGAAAGGGCTTCATAATCAGATACGTGCATTCTGATTGTGGGTATGAGCGCGATAATGCGAACGATGATCACAACATGGTGAAAACATACCTCTTCTGCCGGTTACGTCCCGGCACCCTTTGACTGGCAAGAGAGTGTGGCTGTGGTCACATTAGCTCGGACTTATGCTCGATCGATTGAAGGTTATCCCCTTTCCAGTATAGATCAAGCCAGTTACATATTACATAACTAAGACATTATCGAGAAACCAACCCAAATGAAGTAAAATCTCACATATCCGGAACAAATCGCAGGTTCGTACAAAACCACCATCAGCAATGGCCAAGTCGACCTCCCCCGGATGGGATCCTGTCTTACTCATTTCTCAGGTAATGTATCATGCATCGAGATCTCAATGACAGAGATTAATGGTAGCTAGGGCCGCAGATTGTCTCTCTGCAGACTTTGCATTATCTGACGCTGGCCGTCCTCCTGCCGCCACTTCTCATCATATTCGCGGAACCAAGTGCTTTGGAATATCATGGTGGTGCTGCAAATGTCGGTACGTGCTGCATCTAGAATTTATGGGGCATTGGCCGCAACTCTACCGTATATATTATAGGTATGGTGATGGACTGGCGTGAAATGGCCGGACGATCGACATCGCGCATGAGCCAGGGCTCTTGGAACTCATGGAACTCAGTTTGGAGCGGTGGGAAGCAAGTCGGTTCAGGAGATGTGCTGGAAGGCCAGTGGGATGGGCGGATAGATCCCTTACGCGGTTGGATTATCGCCACATGTTGGATGGCCGCATCTGCTGCCGAGTATGTTATTCTCAAGCTGACTCCATTGAATAACGGCTGACAATTAAATAGTATTTACTACCTTTATATCCTCATTCGACGACCGCGACTGATTTTAGACTTCTCTCTGACATTGATCTTCAACCATCTCGTGCTGACGACGTACTACTCAAACTCCATCCCTACTTCACTCTTCTTCTGGGGGGCCATAGTGGCCAGTACGGTTCTTATGGTGATAGTGGGAGAGCAGCTTTGTGTCCGGAGGGAGATGACGGAGGGACTCACGGTCGTGTCTTCTAATGACGCAGATGACGTGGAGATGGGAAATCTGCTGAGACGAGATTAGTCACAGAATGCGAGAAGTTGCATCCAGGCAAAGCTCAGAAGCTCACCTTTTAACTTGTGACTCAACGGGGTTGACTGCAAGCTTGCTACTCCCCTCAAGGACTGTAATCCATGTACCCTACTTGTGCCCATCGACGGCGTGGAGAAGGTTGTCTTCCGACGCTGTCAACATGCTTTGTGCGTCCCTCCGAGCTACCTCAACGTTACGTGTACCATTACACCTCTGACACTTCGCTATTCTTTCAGATACGACCCCTTGCCTCTCATCGTACTGCCATTGGGCGATGTAAAGCGGCCACAGTTGTTCACCCTCACAAACACCGCATGCCGCTTCTTTGTCAATAGTCCTTTCCCGCCTTCAAGACCAGGCCGTCTAATATTGTCAGTGACGCCACGACGTCTCCGCCGCCGTGGTCTGGTTGACGAACCTTAGAGATGATAATGGATTCGGCCTCTTTGTGGGTGCGCGAGCAGGAGTATATGTTCAGCATTTTTTTAAATTTTATCTCCTCCGTTGTTTGTGACAATCGATTGTGTCCAGAGCCGGCTAAATGTCTCACGCGGTTTCTCCTTGCATTGTTCGACCGGGGTGGATCCTGCAACTCGCAACTCTCCGCCAAGGATGTTCTGTGGTTCATCGCTAATGTGGTTCTGATTTATTCGTTGAGCTTTGAACCATCCAGCGCATGGTTGGTCCGCGGATTTGGACCCCAATTGTACTATTTGCAAGTCCGACGATCTATGTGCCCCAAGCGCGATCAACTCGCTCCGCATCGTTGGGATGAATGTCAGTCCTCGTCTTGCGGTGTTGTCTCACTTACGCTGATCTACCTTATACAGTTAGCTTTCAGCACGGTGTACGGCACGATGTCGGGGCCCGAGTCTTTCCAGCTCAGTCGTCAACGCCTCTCGACGCCTACAGGATTCAACCAAAGATGCCCTCGATATGCGAGACTATGTGTGATTCAACAACCGATGTACTATCCGTTCACCTCTCGGTCGGATGCACTCGGTGGTATTCATCTAGGGCCGGCGCCGCTCATTCCAGTAATTCGGAGCTCAGGGTAGAGCCCTCGTTCTGGTCTGGATGTAGAGCTGATACTTCTATGGATTCTAGATGACCGCGCTTTCATTAGGTGACCTTGGCCGCGGCACTGCCTTAGGGCCCTAGTAAGCTCGAGAGCTCTTGCTGTCGCCATCTTATCATCGTCATGAACATATGTCCACTTGGCTCAGATACCGTCGTTTTCCGATTGGTGTGCACTGAGTGGACATGGGCGATCACTCCGCCAGTCCCGTACTCTTCCCGATATTCAGGACGACTCGCCCCAAGCTGAAGTGTCGATGTCGCCTTATGCGGGCAGCTGCGGAAGTTCTCCGGACCAACGCGTTCATTTCGGGGTCCAGCGTGCGCCCATCTCGTGTTGACGCGATTGCGCACCCATGTCTACTCGTAGTGCAGCGTGGCCCAGGAGGTGCATACATGCGAGCGCGACTCCACATCCCGAAATGCCACGCACTGTGCACGTCCTGAGGTAGCGTGTAATGTCGGAGTTGGTGCAGTCATCGAAAACGTAACAAGCAAACCCCTCACATTGGAAATGACCTCATGGTTGCTTGTGCGTGCTTATGTCTGCGTACAAATTTGGTCTGATTGCCGGAAGTTCTCGTACCCAGACATGTTTCTGGTGTGTCTGCACAGGGACACGCGCAGTTACGTCTTTGCATGGAACGTCTCACTGGGCGGGGTGTTTCTGCGTGGGCGGGTAGTAGCAATGGCAACAATCAAGGTTTGTTTTCCCAAGTATAGACCACTCGATCTTCTCACATGGTCAAGTATACTTGTCCTAGGCTCGTCAGCGGACATCTGAATGTCTTGAGATATAGCGGGGTTTCTCCTGGATTCGGCTCCGCACAAAGACAGGGATGTTAAATGGATTCCAGACTTTCTGGGGGGTCTGTGGGGTTCTAGATACATGGTGGGCGTAATTCCATTCTTCGTCTGGGCTAACCACAATTGATAGGAATTCAGATGTAGATCTCAGCGACTTGATGGCGGGGTGGCAATCGGTGCCTCTGTCTTCCCACAAACGCAAGGTCTCGGCCACGCCGCACACCACAAGGTACGGCGGTGCGAATCCGAACCCAGAGTGAGGGCATGTTGTGCGGCATGTGCGAGCGTACGCATGATGCAGGTTGGGATCGTTCTCTCTCGACAGTTGTATTGAGAACCGAGTAGTGTCTTCCAGCAGATTACGTTAGGGCGTTGTGGCTGGAGAATGAAACCTCGCTTGCATCAGGTCGGACGAGTAGGGCTCCATCTCGGTTCGCCCACGAGGCGCCACTATAATGGACAAGTCTGCTAGATTGCTGCACGCGTGAATCCGACGCGGCTGGTGGCGCGAGTCCACTCCGACTGCAGGCCGCCTTGGCGAGTGCGGGTGCGAGTGCGAGTGCGAGTGCGAGTGGATGTGTGTGTGTGCTCTCTGTCTCTCCCAGATCTCTGGGCAAAGGCTGCTTTACATGCACGGCTCGAAGGTGACCGCCAATTGCCTCCAGCCACTGCCAACTCGCCCAATCGGACATCCTTTGTGACCTCGGCCAGTATTACGTCCAACCCGGGCGCGCCTAACCAGCCTTGGGAGGAATTCGTCTTTCCGTTTCCGGTAGGCGCGTATTTACCGCTCTCACACGAGGTCCCGAGCCCGTATATAAGACCAGCGTAATCCGCTCGCCCGTCCGTCGGGTTGTGTTCTGCACATTTCATTTCATTGCAGCAGCCATGAACACAATCAAAAGTCTTCTGTCTCCGCTCACAGGCAGCAATGCAAATCCAATCCAGGACACTTTGGTATACCCTCTTCAGCTCCATCCAATCTATCCCCAACTAACTCTTGCTCAGAAATTGGTAGTTATTGGCGGCACGGTCGAAACAGCGAGACGAGCTTCCGTTTCTGCCTGGAATGGCTTCATTGATTGTCAGTCGTCCTCTCCAGAGACCATCGCTATCGACTGAGTGTGTCTGCCCAGCTTTCTTCCTGACTGCCCACTTCAGCCAAGAGGATTATCCATATGACTGGTCAGCCTTTGAGCTCCCATGACCAGAACCTGCCACTAATGTCCTATGCCCCTTGCAGGTTGATGCACTGGCTCTCAAAGGTTAGTACACGGGCCGTCTGCGAGCTCCGCTGACTGAGCTCACGCAACACGTTCAGCAACCTGCGTGGGGACGAAGCAGGGAATTTGACATTACGACACGCACCGCCAGTCGACATGGTCTCACGCAGTCCACTACAGGCGATTTGGAAGACCAAGAGGAAGACGAGGACGCGCTTGTCGGAGGCCAGCGCAAACGCAAAGGTAAGGGCTGCATCTGAAGCTTATCGGAACGCCGCCGACGTCTCATATTCTCGGTTGCAGTGGCAATCATTCCGAGTCTCGGTAGGTACCTGGCGCTCTGGTTAATATCCGGATTACGTCATATATACTGTGCGATCAGACACCACACACACCATCTATTATCGTGGCCACTGGCTTCGGGTAAGTCATGGAATTGCAGTTTAGACTCATGTTCTGATAGGCTTTGATATCCAGATTACGCGCACGAAGCGTTTCCAGGATTATGGTTCGTATGCTGAGCTCAAGATAAGGTCAGCGGAGATCGAGCTCACGAAACAATCTCAATGCTGAAGGCTCTGTTTCGCTCGCAGCGTTGTCGCGCGCAATAACGACATCCTCAAGAGACTTGTACTCGAGGCCAAACGTGAGTACGAGAAGGATGCGGAGCACCGCGTGCACATATTCATGGCCGATACGTAAGTGCGGCGTTTGTCTCACCGATGTTTACCCCGCCTGACGTGTTCGCGTCTAGGACATATGGCTGCTGGCGATGGAACGGGGCACGACAGAAACGTCCAATGAGTTCAATTGTATTGGAGCCGGGTGTCAAAGATATGATCCTTGCCGACTGCAAGGACTTCCTATGTTCGGAGGATTGGTACGTCTCACATCTTTTCGTCAACGTAATGGCTCTTGATCTAATGACCGCATTCGCTCAGGTATGCTGAAAGAGGTCGGCCTTCGCACGTCCTGCTTTCTGATATGGGTACTGACGACCCCCGAAAGGCATCCCATTCCGCCGCGGGTATCTGCTGCACGGTGTGCCTGGAAGGTGCGTTCTCACCCAGGCTCAACCCTGTGACTCATCTCACCCGCAGTTGACAGTGGCAAGACATCACTCATTCACAGTCTTGCCGGGGAACTGGGTCTTGACATCTATGTAGTCAGTCTGTCATCCAAAGGGTGAGCGCTCGCGTCATGGCATGCCAACTATGTGGCTTGATTGATCACCCAAATGCAATGTCAGCATGAGCGACAACACATTGTCAAACCTCATGGGAAACGTACCATCCAGGTTCGTGTTCCTTTCGGACGACTATCGGTAATCATGCTCACGTCTTCGGTTAGATGCATATTGCTCCTTGAAGACTTGGATGCTGCATTTACTAGGGGCGTCTCGCGCGACGACACTTCGACTGGCGCGCCAACTAGCACGACGTCGTCTAGTTCCGCATTGTCGGCGAAGAACAAGGATGATAGCAATGATGGGTCCACTCTGAGTCTCAGCGGGCTGCTCAACAGTCTCGATGGCGTCGCAGCCGCTGAGGGCCGGTGAGCCGCGAGTCTGGGTCCCCGGTCACAGCGTCATCAATGCTAATACGATTCCCCGGTTTTGCAGACTCCTCTTTGCGACGACCAACCATATCGAGCGCCTCGACCCGGCGCTCAGCCGCCCGGGTCGAATGGATGTATGGATTAATTTCAAGCACGCAACTAAATGGCAAGCGGAGGGCATCTTCAAGTGCTTCTTCCCAGTCAAGTCTGCAACGCCTGCCGGCTCATCGTCATCCGCGTCTGCACCCAGCACCGGTGCTGATCCGACGTCGCAGGAGGGGCTTCCTGTGTCCAAGCGCAAACAAGCGACTCACGCCATTCCGCTGCTTACGGAAGAGGAAATATCTACCCTCGCGAAGCGCTTCGCAGATGCAATTCCTGAGGATGAGCTAAGCGTAAGCTGTCGTCCAGCGTCTACGAAACGGCGATGTCTGATACCCATGCGTTCATCAGGTCGCTTCGCTGCAAGGCTATCTTTTGCGAAACAAGACGCGTCCGCAGGAATGCGTGGATGAGGTGGCAGACTGGTTCGTATTTCTCACGTGCATCGTTCATGTTGGGCTCAATCGCACGTCGCGCAGGGTCATTCAAGAGCGCGAGACCCGAGCCAAGCTGAAGAAGGAGAAAGAGGAGGTCAGCAGTCCAAGTCAAGTGCTGAGGGCGTGCCGTACTGACTCATAAATTTAGCGCGAGGCAAAGGAGAAGAAAGAGGTACATGGTCACGCTGCAGTGGTGTTAGCGACTTATTGATTCTTTGTCCGCGCAGGCCGAGGAGAAAGCGAAGAAAGAGGTAAGTTACCGAGGCGGCAATTCCTGTATTAGCTGCTGACCGCCCACTCATTCCAATAGAAGGAGTCAGAGTCCAAGGAGGTAAGGTGCCTCCCCTTGTGACATATGCTGGTCATTGACGGACTAAACCCCTGATGCAGAAGGCTGCTGCGGACGTAAGAGAGCCTGTCTTGTGGGGAAGCTCTCTCTGACCATGCTGACTTGTATAGAGTGCGGAAAAGAGCTCGAAGAAGGAATCAAGAACCAAGACCAAGAAATCCTCCCGCAGCGAATCAAAATCCGCCTCCACGACGGACGCCTCGCAAGCCTCCGACGCCGCAAGTTCTGATTCAACGTCGACCTCCGAATCCGAGAGCAGCAGTGGCGGCGCTGAGGCGGACACTGAGGAAAGCGTGACTTCCGAAGAGGAAGCCGAGCAGCCGGAGAAGAGTGATAAGGCCGTAGAGACCACCGATCGTCAAGAGAAGTGGGTCGCTGTGAAAGGGCACCCACCGGATCCGTGCGTTTGATGGAATTGGACCCTACCTCGCACACAAACCCATCTTCGTGATACCTATCATTCAACCCGCTTCGCGCTCACCATCTTTGTTATTCCCGTGCTTAGAAATGTCATTACGAATGCTCACGAAATGTCTATTCATGATCTCATGTTGTGCTCCAGCCAAGAGTGTCTAAAATAACGCGGTGAGTGTATATAATTGGGTGCACGGAGAACAGAACGGAATACGACAAGTGACAGTGTAATAGGGTAAGCGCACACATATAGGTAAGCTAAGTAGACTTCAGAGTAACTTCTGAAAGGGTCCGGAAAGCTTCCTTGTACGCGTCTAGCAGGGCCTTGACACGGGTGCGTTCTGCAACTAGAGTTTCATCCTCGTTCAACAAATCTGAGAACAGCTCCGGCTTATACAACGACGCGACCAGGCGGTTCTGTACCTGCTGAGACGTATTGTTGACGAGGAAGTGCATGATAGATTTTGGTACGAGATCCTGGATCGTTTGGCGCACAATATTGAAGTATGAAGCAATCAGCGAGCGGATGAGGTTCGTCTCCATCTCCTCTCGCATGGTGAGTTGTGGCCCTCCATCGGTTGCCTGTAGGAGCCGAACAGTAAGTGGGTCGGCCTGTTAGTCCCGCAGTGGACACGCCGGGACAAAGACCGCACACTCACCGCCTCAATGTGTTTCCCCAGGCTCTTCATGTCAAACGCCGCATTGTTGCCCTCTAGATCCCTCTTCCCTGCCATAAGCCCCGAATGAAGCGCCGGGTCTCCACCGTTGATGTCGCGCCCAACGGAAGCCGGCGCACCGCCAGGGTGGCCACCAGCACGGTCGGCACTGGCACCCGCGAGCGGACCCGGGCCATTCTGACCGAAGAAATAATTCAGGAACGTCTCTTTTGCCGTCCCTGAGTGCGGCGACGACCCTGGCGCAGCGACCGGCTGTGAGTGTGGGCGTATCGTGCCATGGAGCGGTTTTGGTGACGTGTGCCTCTTCGGGACGGTCACCATCTCACCGGCAGCTCCAATCGTCGTTCGCGCGCGGTCGTGCACGGTCGACGACACAGAGCGTGAATCACGAGGTGGGAGACCGTTTACCCCATTGACCCCATTGACGTCTTCCGATGTCTCCTCATCTTCTTCTGGAGATGCTGCGCCATTCACTGACTGAACAGAGGAAGGCTGTGCCGTAACGTTCGTTTCAAAATTTGTCCATCGAAGTATCGAAGAGCATGCTTCCCCGCCGTGTCTCGCGTTTTGGTGGGGCTGTCGCCGCCGACTGAGCGGCGGCGGCGGATCCGGAAATGAAAGCAGGGTGGTTCGTGTTGATATATGCGGTCTGGATGTCAATTAGGCTTTGCGTATATTCGGTTGTCGGACCCAGTCTCTCTCGCAGCAACTCCGAGATTACTTCGACGAGCTGTGCGTGCAATCGGGGGAATCGTTGTAGTTCCTGCATGTGATATGTGAGTTCAGTCAAGATGCGACCACAAGAACGGCCATGCCCACCGCGCTCGTGCAATTGTGGCAGATTTTGACCAATTCCTCATACACTAATTCCACACAACGCAGACTTGGCGCCTCGAGAAGTTTGATCTGAGGCTTGACAAGCAAATCAAAAGCAATTTCTGGAACGAAGAGACTCGGACGTGGTCCGGTGGAATTGCGGATGGCAGTTCTGATATCCTGGTTGTCCAAGTTGTGGGTGGAATCAATGGACGCGAGCGCTGTTCCAAAAACGTCGTTGAATATGTAGTATATCCGCGCGCCGCCGGAGAGCTCTTTCGTAGATATATCGACGCTAGTGCCTTCTATGGAAGCTACGAAGTCGCGAGCGAATTGTGTCATGAGTCGCAGTACAAGCGCGCCTTGCTACAAAACAATCAGACTTGAAACCTGAAATGATTCCGAGGCATCAGCACCATACCTGGTTAGTATCACCGTATATGGCCGCATCGCCAAATGAGTTGAGCTCTTGCTGGGCTTGGCCCATGAGTGTATTCAAGCGTGCTTTCATATCTGGTAGCTTGTCTCGTATATGATTCATCAGAACCTGCACAGTTATTCAGTTCTATAGGTTGCAGGGACATCAATGGCACTAACCTGATTGAGAGACTTCGCCAGGTACTTTGTTCCGTTCTTGTGGGCTATATTCCGGTACGCAGGGTGATTTCGGAAAAACTCGGTTTCGCTATCCAATGCGTCTGACATGCTCTTGGACGCGTTGATGTCCTGCTGACTACGGCACACAACCCCGATGAATCCCAGTTTAAGCGGATAGACACGACCAGTCAAGATATCGAGGGCATTCGTCCCCGCATCCATCAGGTCGAGTTTGGTAAGTACACCAATCGTTCGGCGGCCCTGGGGGTCGACGGATCTGGCAAGCTTGAGAGACTCCGAATTTGCCAAGTCGACATTCGCAGCGGAGACAGCCAAGATGACACTGAATAATCTGGATTAACATTGGCAAGCACTTGTGAGTCCTTATTGTTCCATACCAGTTTGGCTTGGAGATATAGTCTACTACCAAACTTCGGATTTGGCGCTCGATATCACTGGGCTGGTCGCCCACAGGTATCTACAAGCACCATTAATACCGCGCAAAGTTGGAGAATGTCATGGGAACCTTTGTTAATCCCGGTAAATCCACTAAAGTCAAGTCGAGCACGTCCGGGCTATATATCCGTAGATGAATGGGTAATTTGCTGATGCCCTTATTCTGACCAGCCACTCTGAACGTCTCCTGCTCGATTTCACGGCGAATTTCATTGAAATCTGTGAATCGCTTGTCAATGTGGAGGAACTGGCCCCATTCCGTGTATGTCGGCTCTGATGAACCGAGCGTCGATTCCGGCACGGGTGTGTGTATGAGCTGGAGGACAAGCGGCCTCCGTGTAACAATGCCTTGGCCCCGAGGGAGGAAGTCTCGGCCGACAATGCTGCAAATTGACGATAACTGAGAATGCTGCCTACACCAGGAGCTATAGGAAGACGTACGTTTCGAGCACACTGGATTTGCCAGCAGATTGGCTACCCACCTAGAGCCCCTCGTTAGCCTCAAAGCCAACCAATTGTAAAATGAATGAGACGTACCACCGCCAGCTGAGGCATGTCCAACTCGCCCCCTGCAGCCACCAACAAGGTCTAAGAACACAGTCACACTATACACCTCTATGAACCACATACCAAGGTTGGCAAAAGTATCCTGCAGCTTGTTCACAAGTTTGATGAGGTCTGCGTCCATGGTGGGCAGAAGACAAAGGTCAAGGCAACTTAGTGGCGGGACAACTTGCTGTAGTACACGCTATCGCGGGGCAACGCGTCGTCCTTCGGCAGCAAATCACGCGTCGAACTCCAAAGCGCAGTTCTTTCAGTTGGATGCCCCTCGAAATGCGTGAATTCAAGACGAAGTGTCGGAGACAAAGCGTGTATGGAAAGCAGGTGAGGGACAGCAACTAGCCTGGATTCCAAAGTTCTTACCGTTGTAAAGGATAAATAATCACGTGCGCCATTCGCTAATAAGCTGTAGCAACGAACTGAGAGCTTCTAATATTGTCGGCAACCCAACCAGAGCAAGCCCGAACTGCGAGCAGTATGTGCCGAAAGCAATACTCAGAACATTATGCAATACATGACACATAACATCTGCTAGTTGAAAGTCAAACATTCAAAGAAGCCAGCCAGCCAATGTATTGCAGATTAGTGCACAATCGCTATCAACATACTCTAGTCTAGATAGCCTTGCTCTTGACAAGCTCTGCAAGACATAATTAGACAGCCAGAAGACACCAAATGAATACCAGCACTCACGCTCAACTTCCGCTACGGCACTAGTCAAGATTTCCTTCTGCGTCTTGTCATCATTGATGTTTTTCAACACGTTCGCGATGACAGTCTTTGCAAGCTCGGCTTGCTCGCTCTCCTTCTGTTGCTGCTCAAAACGCACCCAGCTATCCAGAACCGACTTCACCTCCGACGCAAGGAAGACCTTCTGACGTTGCACGAAAGCCTCCGATTCAAGCTGCGCTGTTTCCTATATCACGACAACGACGCGCCATGAGATCTAGTTTGGCCGTACCGCCGTGCACACACACCTTGGATAGAGCGAAAAGACCCTCAGTAACAGAGACAACATCCTTCATCTGCTCAACAGACGCAATGCGGTCCTTCACAACCTGCGTGTGCTCCGAACGCGACTTGTCGAGGATGCCCTTGATACGCTGAATGTGGCCCTCGGCCCAGTCACGATAAGGCTCTCGTATGCTCTATTTCGAGCGGGGCCGACATAATAATCAGAGGTCGCAACAAAATGCAAAGCCCAAATTATGAATACCTTGGCAATGAACGTAAGGAGGATGAAAAAGCCAGCCGCGATGACGGATTCCTCATTCACGACATAGAGCTCCTGCGATATGGCGGTTGCCAGAAGGCCGGTACTGAGGATAACTGTGCCGGTTTTGGTGATGAGACCAGGGGAGGAAGGAACCTTGTTGATCAGCTCCGACGCGCGCTCGGCGGGTGGTGGGTTGGAGGAGCTCGCCATGCCTCGACTACAAATCAGCCATGTTGTAGTCAGATACAGCACAGAGCCGTATTCAGGAAAACGCACGCTGCGAGGGCTCGAGGAATAGAGGCGACCGTTTGAGGTCGCACCCTCGATGCTAAGTTCATTCCAGTGAGCTTGGATGCCCTACGAGTTTCCAGAAACCTACCTGATGCCCTCAGAGAGTTAACGGCAATTCTGGACGCCATCGGTCGTAAAGTAAAGATCGTGCAAACTGGCTAGCAAACGCTGGTCGTGACGAGCTTGACCTCGGGTAAACAACGCACAAACCCCGCGCGTGGGAAACCACCGTCCGATTTTCTACGAGTGGTTTATAAGTTAACTTGTCCAACGCAAGTCACCGTAAACTTTTGTTCTGTGGTATTCACGATGTGTTTGTTTCTAGCACGACTGGCAGTGTGACCCAGTTATGTGTCATTTCGTATTTCTATACTCATTTGAGATGCGGTAGTGTCGCATTGACAGCCGCATCGTCTCAAGAAGTCAGCCGTGCGATGGCCGTCTCAGTGCAAGGTGCACAGTTGCATTCGTGTATTGGTACTACTTTGTCTCTAGGAAAGTTTAAGCAGTCGTTGAGCTGACCCCGTGCTGCGCGCCATGGCAAAGCAGGACGATCAGTATGTGCTCCGCGAGTCCGACGGGGCCACCCGGGCGAATAGGTACCGTCGTTGTCAATGTCCATGAGAACATCTAACTGAGATGATGCATATGCTTCGATATCAGTCTGTGTTTGAATTGAGCAGTGAAAGCTGAGGTGAAAAGGGGGAAAGCTCATATCATACTCTTTCTAGGTTGTCCCTCATTGAACTATGTCCCCTGGGCTCCTACCTTATACCCTTGTGCTCTTATCTTTGGGCGTTTTCGTTCCAGCCCAGTCTTTCATTCCCTCTGTTATCCCCCTTGCTGTCCGATCACCCTACCTGAATAGCTGGGCGATTGCGACCGAACCGTCCTTCCCTTCCACAAATACCTCTGCGATTTTCTGGTTCAATCCCAGAGTGAGTCTTCACGTAGACACTTGCTTCATATATCTGATAATCATACGCTCTCTTGTTGAAAACGGACTGGCTGGGTCGTATCATGGTTGATGGAACAACCTACCAGTGGTTGGGTAACAGCAGCACAAACCAAAATGTCACCGTTGCTCGTCTGGTCAGTACTATGATCACACCTACGCGAACTATCCAAGTCATCGAAGCGGGCCCCGTGAATATGACCGTCACATTTCTCTCACCCATAGAAGTATGCACTGAACTGCTCAATTAGACTGTCCGCGCGAGCATGTTTGTTAATTGATGATCCAGCCTTCTGACTGGGTCAGGCAATCCTTATCATTTTCATATTTAGCTGTTGAGGCCGAAGCAACAGATGGCAAGGCGCACAGTGTACAGGTTTATTCTGACATTGCTGCCCGTGCGCAATTTGTCGTTGGTTTTATATCGATTGATCATAATAATCTGTGCGATAGAATGGACATCTCCCATTCATACTGACGGTGTGAACTGGACCACGATGACACCGAGCGACATCGTGTACCACCAGTTCCAACTGTCGCAGCCCACATATCTTTCAGAGATGCTGGAGTTCCCTTCGGATGGTAGCTATTATTATGCTATGTCTCGTGTACGTCCACCACACAGCAGCGCCGCAGAACATTTATGCATGTGAACTCTCACAGGGCGAAAATGTGACCTACAAGACGTGCTCTGATACAGTTTGCCGATCCAATTTTACGCAATACGGTACCCTTGCGAACGTAGAAAATGACATCAATTTTCGCGCAATTAACGAGTGAGTCCTTTGCTTGAATCGTCGTCTTCGCGGAGTGTATGACAGTGTTTACCAGTAATTCTCCTGTTTTTGCCATGTCTATCGACCTCGGAGACATTATTTCTACCCAGTCATCTCCCGTTGTGTGGGCCGTAGGATATAACCAGAATCCGGCCATCCAATACACCGTCTCAAATGGCGAATATCAGCTACTCAGTCCACTTTTCACCAACTGTCGCCGATGCGGTCAGATCCCTGTCGTCCGTCCGCCTCACAGATCTAATGCCAACTCTAGATTGTAGATTTCCTTTCCGACTTTTCAGATGCTGAATCGAGAGCTATAGCTATGGATAATCACGTCCAACAGGCGGCTTCACAAGTGACAACCGACCAGGGATATTATACCCTATTATCCCTGTCAACTCGACAGGCATTCAGTTCTATGTCTATAACTATTAGCCCCGACTCCATCGGCAATGATTGGAGTATCTCGGATGTAATGATTTTCATGAAGGACATGGGATTCGACGGGTATGGTTCAGCTCCGCTCACCTGCTGATCCCATACATTGACATTCATAAATTGAGGGGTGTCAATTCTGTAGACAAAATGTATGGATCGTTTCCAAACTTTCTGTTCTTCAACGCTTCCTTAGGAGGGCCACTCCTCTCACCCTTGCTTCAAACTCAATTCAATAACGCATCTCGACAGAATTATGCCGCGACAGAATTGGGTGAGTGAACATAATATAGTTGAGGACAGCGATATTGAAGTGTTGTTGGTAGGTCAAATATTTCCGACATCCGTTGACCCTACTTGGGCTGCTGATGAGGCAGTAGACCGTATGTGTGATTTTGTCTAGAGCCTTATGCGACGATTGACGTTCGCCTAGAAACAGCCAATATGTTGATTATGGCGGC